TAATCCGCTTGCTCTCAATGCCCCAAACCCTGGTATACGGTTTCAAAATAACGCTGGATTATCACCACTTTTGAGAGTGAAAAATGCCTGTAATGCCCAGCAGCCTGGTCTTTTGTTCGGAGTACGGTCTTTTGTGACAGGGCCCTGTTTCCTTTGTCCGAGTTTGGAGACCCCGGCCACGCATATAAACCATACGGCTCCGATTTCGGAGTCCCCGGCTGGTAGTGGTTAATAGTCTCTTTTGGTAAATAAATTTAGCTTCCAATTGTTCCATTTTACTCTTTTTCTTGCATGTGTTTTTTTCCCCTGTTTCAGTTTACAATGCATTTGTTGAATTTGCTTCAGTAAGATTTTACCTGCTTTAACCATTTCCTGCCGGGCTATTCATCCATGTTGATTCTGCTGAGTCAGCTGATTTTTCATTTTTGTCTGTTTTCAAAATTCTTTAAAAAATTCATAACTTCATTCACTTGACCCACACCCACATTTACATCCACACAAATGACTCTGTGGTATCTCCTCTAATCTGACAGACTATATGTTTTGGCACCTGAGTATCTCAGCCAGGCCTGCCACCTTTTAAAAGAGCCCAGATTGTGCAGTGTAATGTAATTTTCTTTTGTTCCCGAAATCAGCACAGTGCACTGCTGCCGTTTTTTCAATAGGGGCCAGATTAGCGTGCAGCAGTATTGTATTGCTTATCACTAGAGCACCGGAGTGCTGTCCCCCGTGGTAATCTGCTCGTGCTGAATGTCACAAACAGTGGTATAATCTTTCAAAACAATGACAGATTTCCCCCGCTATTGACAACTGAAAATGTTCTGAATTCCCAGCAGCTCTTTCTTTTATTACAAGCACAGTCTTTTGTTACAAAGCCCACCTTTGTCCAATTTCGGGCACCCAGTCTGTGCATTTAAAGCCAACGTCTCCTGAAACAGGGCTCCCTGGCAGCAAGTGGTTAAATATTGGCCATTATTCAGACTCTTACAGCATCTGTACACCCCAGGCACAAAACTGGGTGCCTGTTAATGGATAGAGTATTTAATTTGAAACAAATTTCTAAATGGTCAGTCAACCATTGTTACAGAAGAGAACAAACTTTCTATTTTCGTGAAAGCAACTTCATTTTATGTAGGTGGAAATATTTCACTGATTGACTGAGGTTGTTTTCTTTCTTTCAAGTAAGATATTCAAGAATTTTTCAGCAGTCCCACTTTTGGGATTTCACCAACAGTGTAACCTACCGTAAACACCATTCCATTTAATTTTTCTTCATTTTTAAATATTTCACAGGGTTCAGGTATAAAGGATATTGGTCGACCTGAAAGATTTCAAGATTTCCTTGAGGCCTTAATGGCTTTCCTGGGCCATCCAAGCATGCATTTGTGTTCCATGATTGTGCCTCTTCTGTCAGCATTCTTCCGTCATGATCAGATCTCCAGAGATGAAAGCCTTCTTGGATTAGTGCCGCAGATATTGCAGATATTAATTGCAAAACTACAGAAGGTATGTTTTTTAGTCTTTATTTATGATCAAAACAAGACAAGCAAATCTTGACGGATGGAAAGAGCAATTCCCAGCATTAGTTGTGAGAATTTCCCTGGGAATCTTATATTAACTCAGTTTAGACTACAGCCAGCGGATGTGGTATCTCCATAACAATAATGCCATTGATGAGATTGAAAGTGTTCAGTGTCTTACTTCACGTATGATCCAAAAACAGAAGATGGAAATGAGTTACATGTTTATTCACCGGCTTAATTTTCTGAGCTGGTTTCCTCTTGCATTACATGAAGTGCAGCATGTAAGCTCCGCTCCAAGGTTTGGTTTAGGTTCAGTTTTAACACTGTTGGGAAGTTTTTGTAGAACTTCATTTTGGTTCGGGTATGGACATGTATACATGTACACATGTACAATGCACACTGAAACACTGAATGGTGCGATACAAATGTATCATTGTACTTCCATGTATTAAATACATAATTCAAGCAGTAAACCTCCCTATCCACCAGCAACTTTGATTTTAACACAATCTTTTTCTAAACTGGTTTCCAAAAGTTTATTTCGGAGTTAAAATTAATTCCATAAAAGATATGGTGCAGACATGTGACATTTTTCACTGACCAAAAGATGATGTAATTTGAACCATGCATAGGATATGTAAAACAGAAGAAAATGAAAAGCATGCTTAAATGATAGTTCCCTATTTTACAGAATATAATATCAAATAAGATTTTGAGCAAATCGTGTCTTGGTTATCAAATACCATCTTGTATTAAAGCCAAACATTCGAACTGACCAGCTTGGTTTGGTTGAATAGGTTGGCTTTCCAAGGTCCCTTTGAACTTGAAGGGCAATTTACATGTAATGGCTGGATTATCTCCCTTAACCACTTCGGGCCGGGGCATTTTTCAACGTTGAGGATGCTGGGCCGGCATAACTATCA